GACGAGCTCGCCAGTTCGTGCGCGCCTTTTTACTGCAGATAACTTTGAAAGGACTGTGCGCGAGAGAAAAAAGCTTTTGTTCCTCAGTTTTCATTAAAGTCTGAAGTGTCTCGAGAAGAGAAGAAAATTGAAATGATAAAAAATTTTGCTGGTAGCAATTCCTTTTTTTTACGTAAAAATGAAGCTTGAAATAAGCCAACGCGATTAAATTAACGCGAATTAGAAAATCTCACTAATTTTATAAAGTTTTACTTTCCTATCGTCGGGTATCACTGAAGTTTTTCTCGATTCTCACAGATGTTTATCAACCAATTATGGACGTGACTGAAAACCTGAAAACTTTGAGATGTGTTTCTGCGCAACAAGAAGACACTTTACAGAGGGGGCGAGTCGGAAAAACACTTCAAGTCTGCAACTGCCAAGTTCCCCTCAAATCAGTCAAATGAAGTAATCGTTTACAGCTAAATGAAGCTAACTTCCTCACATTGTGTAAGCTTGCAGCGAGTGAATCGAAAAGAGCCCGTAACGTAAACGATGAAGCTTGGTAACCAACATTCACACTATTTCTAAAGATGTGCAGGTCAAAAGTTCACAGAAAATATAGCCCTGCAAGATGATGTGATGATTATCAATACTTCCCGTAACACTAAAGCATTGACTTGTTTCCGCCTCTACTACTGTTCCGCGTTGCTTAGAAAAATGCAACGACATCATAACTTTGAAAGGACTGTGCGTAAGAGAAAAAGCTTTTGTTCTTCAGTTGTCAAAAATGTCTGAAGTGTCTCGAGGAGAGAAGGAAATTAAAATGATGAGAAATTTTGCTGGTAGCGGGTCATTTTTTTTTAGTTAAAAATGAAGCTTGAAATAAGTCTACGCGATCAAATTAACACGAATTAGAAAATCTCACTAATTTTAGGAAGCTTTATTTTCCTGTCGTCAGGTATCTCTTACGTTTTTCTCGATTCTCGCAGATGTTTATCTATCAGTTATGGACGTGACTGAAAACCTGAACACTTCGAGATGTGTTTCAGCGAAACAAGAACACACTTGACAGAGGGGGCAAGTCGGTAAAAAACTCAGTACAAGTCTACCACAGCCATGTTCCGCTCAAGTCAGTCAAATGAAGTAATCGTTTACAGCTTTATGTGCAGGTCAAAAGTTCACCGAAAATGTAGCTTTATACCCTTGCAAGATACTATGATTATTATCAATTATACTTCCCGTAACACTAAAGCATTGACTTGTTTCCGCTTTTACTACTGTTCCGCGTTTGCTTAGAAAAATGCAACGACATCAGAACAGGTCTCATGAGTAAGTGTTGTAGCACAACAGGAAATCAAAATGTTCGATCCGTCACGTCGACCCTAAGGACTTTATAAATGCACTCATGATTGAAGGACTTATCTTGTTACTTTATTTGAGCACTTGATCGTTCATGAACCGGCTGATCGTCTCCTCAAAAGTCAAGATACATTGATCAGTATATGTCTATGAATTTGAGATATCTTTCTGAAAGCTGTAACAATGAAACAACACGAAAAAGGAGAGAAGCAAATGAAGAGAACACAGATGTTGGAGCGCTTTTGTTCCGGGTCAGCCTTGTTGTTGTCCCTTTTATGTTGTATTGCGTGGATTAACGTGGAACTCAGAATACAAGAACACCATCGACTGATATCACACTCAGCAAAGTTCTGTGATAAGATAGAGACAGAAATCATACGAAAGATGCAGAAGAATTACGCACGTTGGCAACTTGAGAATATAAGGAAAAAGGAAGATGGTGAGTTTTGCTCTGTTGGCAGTCATCTATTATCGTGTTTGCCGCAGTCGGTTACACCAGTGTTCCACGCGTATTTCTGAATAGGTGACGCAGTATTTAACGCTTAACATTCTAGGAGAAAGATTGCTCCTAAGTAAATTGTTTTTAACACATTTTTAATTCAAAGAAAAAGCTTCCTCGCGAGCAAAATTAAACCACGCATTTAGCCACGCAACTATTAGTTAAAATTTATTGATTCGGGGTTGCAGAAGTATTTTCCTTGATAGGTAGACTTCAAACTTCAAATTACAAGATTAATAACATTTCCATTTCTTTGATGCCAATGAATATGAGAAACAGAGCCAATCTTTGATATTTTCAGACGGACAGGAAGCTATATCGAGAAAGAAACGCTTTACACGGGATGATTTACAACAAAACTCTTCCTTAGCATCCTCTTTGGTACAAAAGCTGATCAAACAAGAGCTTAGTCTACTGCAAAACCAGTTCTGCACAAAAAATCACACACTTTGCCAAGCAGGACAAAAAGGTAACAGGGGAAGACGAGGAAGACCGGGAAACCGAGGGAAGCGGGGTCCTCCTGGAAGAACTGGCCCAGAAGGGCCACCTGGTAAATATGGACCTATAGGACCGCCGGGGCCGATGGGAATAAAGGGGGATGTCGGATTACCAGGGAGTCCCGGTCCCTTGGGACCGCGAGGGCCACCGGGAGAGAAAGGAGCCACAGGTAAGCCCGGTGAGTCCCTCTCAGCGCCATCTCTGACTGAGCGACCCATTGGAATGACAGTCAATGAAAGTCAGACAGCCATGTTGAAATGTAAAGTGAGTGGTAACCCAAAGCCAAAAGTGAAGTGGTCTAAGGTGAGATCATCGCTTCCTGTTGGACGTCACACGGTAGAGTCCAGTGGTGCGCTGATTCTAAAAGACGTTAGACCTGAGGACGACGGAGTCTACAGCTGCAGGGCAGAGAGTTTGCTGGGACAAGTGAACTCCTCAGCAAAATTAACTGTTCAGTGTAGGTCATTCAATTTAAGTTTGAAAGTCATCAAATGAAACAGTTCATCTGACACACTGAGAGACATTCCTTGCCAGAAGACAACTAAAGCTTCCAAAGTTAAACTTTAATCCTTAAAAAGAAATTGATTTTTTTTCTTATTTGATCCTATAATTAAGGCATAATATTGGGTGTTATGAAACTAAACTATAACATTATAGATTTCAGTGTCAACACTCTTTGAGAAAGGAATTATATCTGCGTTTTCTTTTCCATAGTCATCCCTAAACCTAAGTTATCATCAAGTCGATTAATGGCTGAAGAGAAACAGAACGTCACTATTGCCTGCAATGCTGTCGGTCAGCCGCAGCCAAGCATCACGTGGTCTAAGGCAGTGGGTAGTTTGCCAAAAGATAGGACTGAAGTGAGGAATGGAACGTTAAAAATCTATAGTTTGGCGAAAAAGGACAGTGGAATATTTATTTGCAAGGCAGAGAATACTTTGGGATCAGCGACAGACACTGCTCATCTCATGGTATTTACTCCTCTGAAGTTCAAAGTGCGTCCTCCTCAGGAGGTGACTCCACATGCTCCTGATCCTCTTTATGTACCATGTACGGCCGAGAGTGACCTGAGGGTTACAATCACTTGGACAAAGGATGGCATGTCTTCTCTTCCTGTGGAGTCTAATGTTCTACAAAATGGAACTCTGGTTATAAACAACATTAGGAAATCACACCAAGGATCTTACACCTGCAGAGCGACTAATGCTTTGACAACAATAGAAGCCAAAGTCAGAATCAACCCTCCTATTATTTCGTCTTGTTCTGTGATAAGAAAATACGTCAGTAGCGCAAACGGAAGTTACGTCATTGACCCAGATGGCGAAGGGGGACTGGCACCTTTCACGGTATATTGTGACATGAGTGACAAGAATGGAGTTGGCGTGACTGTTATTAGTCACGACAGTGAAAGTAGAACACATGTGAAAGGATGTAACCCTCGTGGCTGTTATTCACGAGACATTCATTACACCGGGGTGAGTTTGTCTCAGTTGGCGAGTCTCACTAGTGTCTCATCACAGTGTGAACAGTTTATCAAGTATGAGTGTCATGATTCAACTCTAATAGGACACAAGGGACTCGAACTCGCATGGTGGGTGTCACGCGACTCCGCTACAATGACGACCTGGGGTGGAGCAACACCTGGAAGTGGTAAGTGCGCATGCGGGATGACTAACTCCTGTGCAAACCCCAGTGATCCATGTAATTGTAATAAGAATGACAATGTATGGCGTGAAGACAGCGGTCTGCTCACTGAAAAGACACATCTACCAGTCAAACAGCTCAGGTTTGGTGACACAGGTGATGTAGGAGAGGAAGGATATCACACTCTGGGAAAACTTAAATGCTATGGAATAGCATGAGCAGTTAACATTGAAGCAGTAAAAAAAAAGTAACATTTAGTCAAACCAACCTTACATTTCGTTGAAAGTTTGGCTTTTAAGTTGGACTGTTCGTGAAACAGTATTTAAGAAAGTATTGATTTCAGATATATTCCTCTCTGACATGAGTAAATTTTCTTGATACTTAAGTACATAGTTCTATTGTGTGAAGTAACCACTCTTTTTTTTTTACATTGACTTAATTTCGAAGATTTTAAGTGCACTCCAATTTACTTAATTAGTTTATGGAGTTGTAGGAGCAACTCATCTCACCTCCCGCCTCAATTTCTTATATTAACGACAGTTTCAAGAAGTGCTTTGTTACGGACCGTGGAGTTGACTAGTAAGCTATAATGGCGTTCTAAGATTGTGGCGCACCTCGCAAAATTGAAATGCTATGAAAGGGCATGTACGTTTCAATTCAAATATAGATAAGAGTGTTTCCCGAAGCTTAGTTAGTCAAAAACTGAAAACATCCTCAGAACATTTTAAGAGCTAATCTCAACATGCATCAGACAAACAGTGGCAAGTCTCCTACTTTCATATTTTGTAGCCCAATATGTCCTAATAATTGTGGTGTAGTTTTTTGGTGAAAATATATTTTAGTTTTCGAGAAATGAGTTTTTTTCGTTCGACCGCTCAAATATGCAATCAATCCAATTAGCACCCATCAAAGTACAAGTTCCGGTAATGATAATTTCACACCAGACCATGAAGGCACATCCGTTGTTTCCGGACATGAAGTAAACCCCAATGCTAAAACCGGCGCCTGTGGTTTTAAGATGGAAAAGCCAAAGATGCCTAAATTTACCGGAGACGTAAGAGATTATGCCATTTTTCGCGCCGATTTTAAGCACGCGATAGAATCGAAATACAGCAAAAGAGATGCAATAACTTTTCTTCGCACATGTCTGCAAGATAAACCATTAGAGTTAATCAAAGGGATAGGTTCGGACTATAAGGCAGCGTGGGATTATTTGGACTCTATTTACGGAGATCCAAGATTCGTGTCCGACACCATCACGCAAGACATAGTAAAGTTTAGAGCTCTGCAACCAGGAGAAGATGCAAGATTTTGCGACTTAGTCCATTTGGTTAAACGAAGCTTCAACACTCTGAAGGAAGTCGGAAGTCAAAATGACATGGACAACAGTCACATGCTATCTATCATTGAGCAAAAAATGTGTTCGGATGATCGAAAGGTTTGGTCACGAGACTTGGAGCGTCAGGGAGAAAAAGCAACTTTAGAGCGACTGATGAAGTGGATGGACGTAGAGATGAAATCACGTATGCGTGCTACTGCTCCATTGAGATCTAGCAGATCAGTCTATGCCTTGCAAGTCGAAGCTCCCAACCAGAAGTGGTACAAATGCTGGTACTGTAAAAACTCGTCCCATTGGCCAGATACATGCCCTAAATTCGCTGCCCTCGGTATCGACCAACGTATAAAAGTCGCCAAAGAAAACCATGTGTGCTTTAGTTGCATGAAAGCAGCCGGAAGAGAACACCGAGTTGACAACTGTAGGAGACGTAGAAAGTGTACGAAAACCGAGAACGGAAGGGAATGCATGCATTTTCATCACCCGTTGCTTCACAAGAGCACCGCAGTCAAAGTTGGCGTCGCGTCACTCTCCGAGCCACATGAAACTCTTTTGCCGGTGGTAACATGCAAGATTTACGGTCAAAATGGGTTCCAAAAGCAAAGCAACACTCTCCTTGACTCGGGAGCGCAGATCAGCCTAATCCGCGAAGAAACAGCAGCTGCACTGGGACTCAAAGGAAACGACACCGCCGTAACACTTACGAAAGTGGGAGGAGAAGAGGAGACGATCAAGACCAAAGTTTACAAAGTTCCTGTATCATCAATTGACAACACCGAGATGTTCTCAATCAAGGCAATTGGAATTCCGCGCATTAGTGAGGAAGTGTCAGCAGTCCAGCTTAGACCGATCGCCAAGCTTCTTGGACTGGAGAGCGAAAGGATACGCAGAGGCAATGGTCCTGTCGATTTACTAATAGGAATCGACCACGCCCAGATGCATACTGGACAGACCAGGCAAACTGGACAGCTAGTTGCAAGAAGAACACCTCTAGGATAGGTAGTTTTCGGTGGACCGTCAGGAGAAACACAAGTGAATGGTCGCGTCTACCATGTAAGATTTGCTGCACCGGTAGAAATGTCAGATTTTTGGAAGACTGAGGCAATGGGAGTAGAAGTTAAACCGTGTGTTTGTGAGGCTGACAAGCTAACGCAAGCCGAAAGAGAGGAAGCAGAAATCATTTCCAAGTCGTGTGAAAAGGTGGGCAAGCAGTGGATGATACCTTACCCCTGGAAGAAAGACCCCAAGCTGTTGCCGGATAATAAGCCATTGGCGATGAAACGGTTGGAAAGTACGGAGAGACGCCTTAAGAAAGACCCAGAAAAAGGAGTGGCTTATGACAAACAGATGGAAGAAATGAAGGAGATGCAGTTCTCAAGAAAGCTGTCCAGAAAAGAAATGGATAATTACAAAGGCCCGGTGCATTACATCCCACACCATGCCGTTATTCGACCTGAGAAGAAGAGCACACCCGTACGAATCGTCTTCAACTCCTCTTCAGTCTATCAAGGTCACGCACTGAATGATTATTGGCTTAAGGGGCCTGATTTGTTGAACAATCTGTTTGGAGTAATCTTGAGGTTTAGAGAAAAAGAAGTAGCAGTGATGGGTGACATATCCAAAATGTATCACCGTATACGCATCCCGGAAGAGGATCAACATGTTCATCGGTTCCTGTGGAGAAACTTGGAAACGGAAAGAGAACCTGATGTGTACGTAAAAACAGTCCTGACGTTTGGTGATAAGCCAGCGCCTGCCATGGCTCAAATTGCGTTAAGAAAAACAGCTGAAGAAAACAAGAAGGACTACCCAGAAGCAGCCGAGGTGCTCACAAAGAATTCCTACATGGATGATATTTGTGGTTCTGTAGACACTGTAGCACAAGCTCAGAAGTTGACAAGAGATCTAGACAAAGTACTAGACAGTGGAGGGTTTGGCGTGAAGGGCTGGACGTCGAACAAACTTCTAACCAAGACAGAAAATCAGGAAAATGAGTTCAAGATGTTCCAGGAAGAAGTTGAAGAAAAGGTGCTTGGAGTGATTTGGAATTATGTTACAGATGAGTTCAGCTTCAAAGTTAAAGTGGATTTACTGTGCCTGACAGATTATTCAGGAGACCGTGGAGTAAAGATGACCAAGAGAACTCTTCTCAGTCAAGTTGCCCGCTTCTACGATCCCATTGGATTCGCTGCCGCATTCGTCATCAGAGCCAAAATAGGTTTACAAGAACTGTGGCAGATTGGTCTTCACTGGGACGATGAGCTTCCATATGATGTAAAGGATAAGTGGATCCAGCTCTTCAAGGAAATGAAGGAACTTGACCGGATTGGTTTCAAGAGGTGCCTGGTTCCACCCGAAACTCCAGAATTACCAGTACTGTGTGTCTTCTCAGACGCCTCACAAGAAGCCTTTGGGGCCTGCGCGTACATCCGCCAGAAAACGAAACAAGGCACCTATGAAGTAAACTTCGTTGCCGCTAAGTCTAGAGTGGCACCCCTAAAGCAACTAACAATTCCACGCCTGGAATTACAAGCAGCCGTTCTCGCCTCCCGCCTCGCGAAAACGATAGTGAAAGAGTGTACGATTCAATTCGCCGATGTCAAATTCTTCACTGACAGCAGCATCACACTTGCCTGGATTCAAAGTCCTTCCCGCAGTTTCAAGCCGTTTGTCTCAGCACGGATCGGGGAGATCCAGAATAACTCGGACCCAAGCCAGTGGAAGCACATTCCCGGTGAAGAAAACGTAGCAGATGATGTCTCGCGAGGATTACATGTAAAGCAGCTGACGGGTAGATGGATGAACGGCCCAGAATTTCTAAAACTGCCAGAGGAACAATGGCCAGTACAAACAGCTACACTGCAACAAGAAGGAGATATGGAGCGTCGCCACGTTAATGCTGTCACTACAGTCCCGCCTACAGATGTCGGAAATGTAATCGATGTGAAGAATTTCTCCAGTTGGCGGAAACTGATACGAGTTACCGCGTGGATAAGGCGATTAACAGAGAAGATACGCCTCAGAAGAAACACACTCAGCGGACGAGAAGGACCTCTCATGCCTGAAGAGTTAAAGAAGGCTGAGATGTCATGGATCAAAAGTGCTCAAAAGGATTTAAAGAGCCGAATGAAGAATGGAGACTTCAAGACATTAAGCCCATTTATAGACGACAAGGGGATCATCAGGGTCGGAGGAAGGATTGACAAAGCAATCGTGTCCTACGAAGAAAAACACCCAGTGCTGCTTCCCAATGAGCACAGAATATCCCTGTTAATTACAAGCCATATGCACAACCATGGGCATCCTGGAGTAGCAACCACGACTGCAAAAATAAGACGAAAATACTGGATCTTGAAGGCGAATAAGCTCAGTAAGGCTGTGAAATTTAAATGTGTTTCTTGTCGAGAAATGGCACACAAGGCAGAGACGCAGTTGATGGCAGACCTGCCAGCTCTCCGTTTAGCACCGCAAACGCCTCCGTTCTACTATTCCTCGTGCGATTACTTTGGTCCATACAATGTGAAGATAGGGCGCAACAAGACAAGAAAGCACTATGGCGTCATCTTCACGTGCTTAAACACAAGAGCCGTCCATCTGGAACTAGCTGTTGACCTATCAACAATGGAATTTATCCAGGTGCTAAGAAGGTTTTTCTCTATCCGTGGATACCCGGCAGTGCTATTGAGCGACAATGGGTCACAAATGGTTGGCGCAGAGCGGGAATTGCGCGAAATGGTCGAAGGTTTAGATTCTGACAAACTCCGTGATTTCTGCGCTGAAAGAAGTATCAACTGGCTGTTCACCGCTCCAGCTGCCCCTCATCAGAACGGATGTGCTGAGGCACTCGTCAAAAGTTGTAAGCGTGCCTTGAAGAAGGCAATAGGAGAACAGGTTCTGAGTCCGTTCGAGTTATACACATGTCTGCTAGAAGTCGGAAATCTCGTTAATCAACGCCCGATCGGCCGTGTTCCAAATGACCCGGATGACGGCAAATATTTATGCCCGAACGACATGCTTCTTGGAAGAGCAACACCGGAAGTTCCTCAAGGCCCATTCCAAGACACGAAAAACCCGCGACGCCGTGTAGAATTTGTGCAGAAAATTGTGGAGTCATTCTGGAAACGTTGGAGCAGAGACGTACTGCCAGCGCTAGTGATAAGGAAGGCATGGCATACAGAAAGGCGAAACGTTCAAGTCGATGACATTGTAGTCATGGCGGACAACAATGCTATCCGAGGTAAATGGACCATCTGCAGAGTAATCAAGGTGTATCCCGGGACAGATGGCCGAGTCCGTAATGTCAAAGTAAAAACACCAGCCGGAGAATACAGCCGCCCAGTCACCAAGATTGCTGTTATATATCCTGCTGAGGGATACGACTAAATAAAATTAGGCTGACTTCAAGAAGGATAAGGACTACCCCCTTATCGGGGCGGAGAATGTTTCGTTTAATAAATAGGCGTTGCCTCGTGTTGACAGATTTATTCGATGACAAGAATCGTGATTGACATTAATTCAATAGATTGATTTAAAAGCGTTAGATTATTATGTTTAAGTCAGTTTTTCAGCAGAATCGAAGTGAGAAAGAAGTTATTTTGTTATCGTTTTTCTGTCTCTAAATCCGCTTACCTGGAGAATCTGCTAACCCGTAAAGTGAGACTGTTGTAACGACCCGCCACAGAAGTAAGTTTATATTGAAGTTTTTGAATTCAGTTACAAGATAAAGACTTGATTTGCGTTTGTTCTAATTGCGAATTATAAATGTATTTCTTTTAGATCGAATAATTATTAAAGCTTGGCTTAATATTATACGGTTTGTGGTGGTCACTTGATCTAATCAGTTCCGAGTAAGGAAACAAACACAACAATACTCTCAGTTACTGTAACCCGACTAACGTTTAATCGAGTATCTCTTTCGTCGCTGTTATTTTTCTCATTATGCCAAAAGCACGCCGCTCTTCGTATACTATGGCTTTCAGGATAAAAGTTGTCGCGGAGCCTGAAGCTGTAGAAAACAGCTCGGAGATCGCTTGAGATTATGGACTTAGCGAGTCCATGGTGCGACGTTGGAGACGAGATCAAGCGACTATTCTTTCTGGCAAGCTTAAGATGTCTACAAGACGTGCAAAAATGAGCCGTTTCACTTCCAAGTGTCCCGATCTAGACGAGCAAGCGATGGAGTGGTTTTCACAGCAGAGAGACCAAATATTTCATTTGTAATGTAAAATGAGAAGAGTCTTTGCCGAATTGAGTGACATCGTCTTTCAATGCGTGGGAAGCAAAGAATCTGATTGACGGTCAGAAATACGTTGTTGTCATGTCAATTTTGGTTAAGAATATATGAAAGTCATATATTTGAACTGCGGATAAAGAAGTAATGAAAGTGATCCTCGCAGTAATGTGCACTACTTAGGCAGTAGTGAAAATAAATAAATTTTTTTCAGGCCTTATTTTCACTACTGCCTAAGTAGTGCACATTACTGCGAGGATCACTTTCATTCACTTCTTTATCCGCAGTTCAAATATATGACTTTCATATATTCTTAACCATTTATTCATCACTTCACGGGTTTATTTAGAACCAAATTCATAACCAGCTCCCAGTTGGCTTGTTAGCTCAGTTGGTAGAGCGCTGCACCGGTATCGCAGAGATCATGGGTTAAAATCCCGTACAGGCCTGAATTTTTTTTTTCAGGCCTTATTTTCACTACTGCCTAAGTAGTGCACATTACTGCGAGGATCACTTTCATTCACGTCTTTATCCACAGTTCAAATATATGACTTTTATATATTCTTAACCATTTCTTCATCACTTCACGGGTTTATTTAGAACCAACTTCATAACTAGCTCCCAGTTGGCTTGTTAGCTCAGTTGGTAGAGCGCTGCACCGGTATCGCAGAGGTCATGGGTTCAAATCCCGTACAAGCCTGAATTTTTTTCAGGCCTTATTTTCACTACTGCCTTAGTAGTGCACATTATTGCAAGGATCACTTTCATTCACATGTCAATTTTAAAGCATGTCACGTAAAAAGCGCTGCAGTCACGGAATTTAAGGTCATTTCGCATTAACACTAAATTTGTACTTGTTTTTGAATTCCAAACCCTCGGCTATAAGCCGAAGCCCGTTTCTTGTGAAAAAAATCTCAAACTTTTGTGTCAAATGCTGAAAATCGCTCGGCTTATAGGTGAAGAAATACGGTAATCGTTTCAGTAGCGGCGCATATTGAAATTTATAGTGTTCTGGCGGGAGAGCAAAGCGTGATGCTCGGGGAATAAAAACTGTTAGGGGCCTTTTACATAATATCGGAATGAGTTTTGTTCAAGAACGAGTTCATCCCGGTCGCCACATGATAGCTGAGTAAAATTATTCGAAACGAGTCATCAGGCGATAGGATATGGGTGAGGATGCTTGTCGTACCTTTCAGGGGTCAAAATCAGTTATCTGGTACCTTTTACGATGTCTCAAACTTTAGTGGACTACCGGAGACCTAGCTGGTACCTTTTAGGCTGTTTTTCGCTCAATAAAATACCTGAAATAAGCATTACTTGGACGATTTTAATGATCTGACCTGAGCCTCTGGAGCATATCGATAAAGGAGTTTTTATTTTAAGGATTTTTCAATTTTTTGTATTTAAATTGGTACTTTTGGGTAGACATCAGTTGTTGCCACTCCCACACGGATAAGACTCAGGTACCTTTTATAATTTTATAGGGGTCATTTTTGAAATTCCCGGCGCGCATCCTCGCCCTCTTTTGGGGTTCCTCGGGGGGTGCTGATACGTGCAGCACACTTGAAATTTAGCAAGGACAAATTTTGATGTGATTTTCGGTGAAGAGAAAAAAGTTTTGTCAGCAAATCTCCTTGTTAGCATGTAAGATGAAACGCTTATAGAATAGATCAATTAGCTAAATCAGTATGTAGCCTGTCAATCGAATTGACTTTTGTGAACATTCTTTGACTTCCACCGGCAAAGGAATCATCGATGAATCTGGAAATTTTAGTTTTCTGAATACAGTAATTCTTGGAAGGTTTTTATAGATATGCAAAGAGGGAAAAAACCCATCTCTTGGTAATTCGGAGGTCTATTCATCTTTAAATTTGTGTCACGCTTGTCATGCAACTGATATAATGTGGAAAAGTTTTATAAACTGCAAATTAAATCTGGCTTAAATGTGGTAGAGCATAACTTGATCATCGAAACAGCTCATAAAATCGTAAATAAATGAGGTAAGAGTATTATGCTAGATTTTTTTTACAAATTGTAGCGATTTAAGCTAGTAAACGGTGGCGACAAATAGGCACAAGATGTATATTACATAGTCGCTAGCAAGTAAATTTTGCCGGACTTTGAGTTCGTCTCACGATAGAACGACACAAATACACAAGGAAATTTTTACAGCAACTTTATAACCATCCTTTTGTCTTTTAAAAGCTAGAAGCTCAGTAGATTCTGTATCGGTCATTGTTAAAACTGTTTTTGTTTTCATGCTACTTTTCGACATAGTAAAAGTATGTCAGACAAAAATATTCACCAAAAAATAAATATTTCTTTGCCAGCTTCAATAATGTCAGGGGATTAAGTTTAGATGATAAATCAAAGGCTTATGTTGACAGAAATATCGGAAGTGAAGTAAATTCGTTACACGAGGTCACACAACTCGGGTAATATTGACGATGAAAATTTGCATATTTGAGCGGTCGAACGAAAAAAATCATTTCTCGAAAACTAAAATATATTTCACCGAAAAAACTACACCACAATTATTAGGACATATTGGGCTAAAAAATACGAAAGTAGGGAAGAAAATGAATTTTGGGCGACTTGCCACAATATTTCAAATTTGTTCGATGGATGCTGACATCCTCTATTAAGAATAGGAATTTCACAAATAGTACGTTGCAACTTTCTAGAGCTTGTAGGCTTCAACGGCTTCGCCAAAATTATAACTTACCTAATTTGCACGTTAACTATAGTGTCCACTTGTAATCTATCAAGGAATATCTTGAAACTTGCTGAGAAGTTCCTATGTCCTGTCCCTTGTGACCTACCAGAAGCCTCGAGGCACCACTTAAAACTCGCGCCAAAACTGAATTGAACATGCAAACAAAGTGGACGAAGTGAGACACGTGGTCCAGCGACTACACCATTCAGATAACTACTGCAGTGCTTTGAGCAGTAATTTACTTTTCAGGTTCATAAAAATTTCATGCATGACATTCCCCATTGCTAACTGCAACTTAAATACAAACAATTGAGCCCTGGCTGACATTCCTTCCAAGCCAGCATTACTTGGTGGAGTGTTTTTTTATGTAGTTAATAAGACCATTTGTTGAAGAATCTTGCTGAATTGCTTTAGCAAGCTGTTTGCCTAATTCAACTCTGTAAGAAAAAAAATTCAGAAAAAGAAAACTGAATTATTTATTCTCCTAACTGTTCACTAAACAAAATGTCATAAGGAGAACTTTCCTATTTGCCATTCCTCACACAGCAGTTTTTCTGGATATCGATGAACGATAAACCGCAGACACCAATTTCTGCTTATTTCTTCGTGCATAAATTGCCGCGTTCGTAGTAATTCGCTCGCTCGTCCAGTACAAAGACATGAAAGCTACCTACCCCCACTGGTCAAAGGAGTTAATATCCCAGACTACTCCTTGACAAAATATCTTGTGTTCATACATGGCTGTAGAAAAAAAGAAGCAAGGAATCAACTCAGTATTCGCGTAATTCATTTTAAAAGTACGTCACTGTCTTTTAACTAATTCACCAAACAAATTTTCGCAGAACTTGATGTAAGTTATTTAGGCTGACACGTGAAAGCCACAAGTCGTGCGTGTCTGATCTCTGCCGCGTGTTTTACTCGCACTCGGTCACTTTGAGAGTATAGACAATGGCTCTCACAATCACGTAATATTTAAACCATGCTTCTCATGGCAAAAATAACTTAAACTATAAGGAATATATAAATATTCCGTACTTACACGTAAGATCACTAGAACTTACTCACTCCTTGCGTGCCCGTTGTACCTTAGGGCGTTCTCTGTCGTTTTAAGCTTGCGTTGGGCTTGCTTTGCCATCACTGTTATTCCTGTTACAACAGGAAGTAATCAGATACGATCTGTACAAACAAAACTCGTGACTAAACGTTATATAACTATTAATACGCGTGACTGTTCGATAGTTTATTTGAGTACTAGATCCTCTATGAAACAAGCTGATCGTCTCCTCAAACGTCAAGAGACATTCATTGATCAGTTTATGTCTGTGAATCTTTCTAATTGCTGTTACAATGAAATGACATGGAGTAGCAGAGAAGCAAATGAACAGAACACAGATGTTGGAGCGCTTGTGTTCCGGGTCAAGTTTGCTATTGTCTCTTTTATGTTGCGTTGCGTGGATTAACGTGGAACTCAGAATCCAAGAACACAATCGACTCATATCACACTCAGCAAAGTTCTGTGACAAGATAGAGACAGAAATCATACGAAAGGTGCAAAAGAATTACGCACGTTGGCAATTTGAGAATACAAGGAGAGGGGAAGATGGTAAGTTTTGCTATGTTAGCCGTCATCTATTCTCGTGTTCCAGTCGGTTACACCGGTGTTCCACGCGTATTTTTGTTTAGGTGATACAGCATTTAAAACTTTACATTCTAGGGAAAAGATTGCTCCCAAGCGAATTTTTTTTACACCTTTCATTCAAAGTAAAAGCTTCCTCCCAAGTATTGTTTAATTTAGCCACGGAACTATTAGTTAATATCCATCAGTAATCTGGGGTTGCAGAAGTATTTTCCTTGATAGGTAGACTTCAAACTTCAAATTACAAGATTAACAACATTTCCATTTCTTTGATGCCAATGAAAATGAGAAACAGAGCCAATCTTTGATATTTTCAGACGGACAGGAAGATATATCGAGAAAGAAACGCTTTACACGGGATGATTTACAACAAAACTCTTCCTTAGCATCCTCTTTTGTACAAAAGCTGATCGAACAAGAGCTTAGTCTGCTGCAAAAGCAAATCTGCGCAAAAAATCACACACTTTGCCAAGCAGGACCAAAGGGTAACAGGGGAAGACGAGGAAGACCAGGAAACCGAGGGAAACTGGGTCCTCCCGGAAGAACTGGCCCAGAGGGGCCACCTGGTAAATATGGACCTATAGGACCGCCGGGGCCGATGGGAATAAAGGGGGATGTCGGATTACCAGGGAGCCCCGGTCCTTTGGGACCGCAAGGGCCACCGGGAGAGAAAGGAGCCACAGGTAAGCCCGGTGAGTCCCTCTCAGCGCCATCTCTGATTGAGCGTCCGACTGGAATTACAGTCAATGAAAGTCAGACAGCCATGTTGAAATGTAAAGTGAGTGGTAACCCAAGGCCAAAAGTCAAATGGTCTAAGGTGACATCATCGCTTCCTGTCGGACGTCACATGGTAGAGTCCAGTGGTACGCTGATTCTAAAAGACGTTAGACCTGGGGACGACGGAGTTTACAGCTGCAGGGCAGAGAGTTTGCTGGGACAAGTCAACACTTCAGCAAAATTAACTGTTCAATGTAAGTCTTTCAATTTATGTTTGAAAGTCATCAAATGAAACGGTTCTTCTGACTCACTGAGAGACATTCCTTGCCGGCAGTTAAGGCTTCCAAAGTTGAACCTTAATCCTTAAAAAGAAATTGACTTTTTTTCTCATTTGATCCTGTTATTAAGGTTTGAAATTGGGTGTTACGAAGCCAAACTATGACATTACAGTCTCCAGTGTTAACGCTTCTTGATTAAGGAATTATATCTGCGTTTTCTTTTCCACAGTCGTCCCTAAACTTAGGTTATCATCAAGTCGATTAATGGCTGAAGAGAAACAAAACGTGACTATTGCCTGCAATGCTGTTGGTCAGCCGCGGCCAAGGATCACGTGGTCTAAGTCAGTGGGTAGTCTGCCGAAAGATAGGACTGAAGTAAGGAATGGAACGTTGAAAATCTATAGTTTGGCGAGAGAGGACAGTGGAATATTCATCTGTAAGGCAGAGAATACTTTGGGATCAGCGACAGACACCGCTCATCTCATGGTATTTACTCCTCTGAAGTTCAAAGTGCGTCCTCCTCAGGAGGTGACTCCACATGCTCCTGATCCTCTTTATGTACCATGTACGGCCGAGAGTGACCTGAGAACTACAATCACTTGGACAAAGGATGGCATGTCTTCTCTTCCTGTGGAGTCTAATGTTCTACAAAATGGAACTCTGGTTATAAACAACATTAGGAAATCACACCAAGGATCTTACACCTGCAGAGCGACTAATGCTCTGACAACAATAGAAGCCAAAGTCAGAATCAACCCTCCTATTACTTCGTCTTGTTCTGTGATAAGAAAATACGTCAGTAGCGCAAACGGAAATTACGTCATTGACCCAGATGGCGAAGGGGGACTGGCACCTTTCACGGTATACTGTGACATGAGTGACAAGAATGGAATTGGCGTGACTGTCATTGGTCATGACAGTGAAAGTAGAACACATGTGAAAGGATGCGAGCCTAAAGGCTGTTATTCACGAGACATTCATTACGCCGGAGCGAGTTTGTCTCAGCTGGCGAGTCTCACCAGTGTCTCCTCACAGTGTGAACAGTTTATCAAGTATGAGTGTTTTAATTCAGTGCTGATAGGAGGGATGGGAGGTGGATACGCATGGTGGGTGTCACGCGACTCCGCTATAACGACGACCTGGGGTGGAGCATCACCTGGAAGTGGTAAGTGCGCATGCGGGATGACCAACTCCTGTGCAGACCCCAGTTATCCCTGTAACTGTGATAAGAATGACCTTGTATGGCGTGAAGACAGCGGTCTGCTCACTGAAAAGACACATCTACCAGTCAAACAGCTCAGGTTTGGTGACACAGGTTATGGATTAGAAGAAGGATATCACACTCTGGGAAAACTTAAATGCTATGGAATAGCATGAGCAGTTAACATCAAAGCAGTAAAAGAAAAAAAAAACAGTTAGTCAAACTAACTTTAAATTTTGTTGAAAGTTTAGCTTTTAAGTTAGACTGTGCGTGAAACAGTATTAAAGAGAGTATTGATTTCAGATATATTCCTTTCTGACATGAGTAAATTCCCTCGATACTTAAGTACATGGTTCTATTGTGTGAAGTAACCACTCTGTTTTTTTTTACATTGACTTAATTTCGAACATTTTAAGTGTATTCCAATTTACCTAAATAGTTTATGGAGTCGTGAGAGAAACTCATCTCACCTTCCGCCTCAATTTCCTATATTAACGACAGTTTCTGGGAGTGCTTTGTTACGGACCGTGGAGTTGACCAGTCAGCTCTACTAAGCGACGTCCTCCTAAGATTGTGGCACACCTCGCAAAAGTTAAATGCCATGAAAGGGCATTTACGTTTTAATTCAAATATAGATTAGAGTGTTTTCCCGAAGCTAAGTTCGTCAAAACTAAAACATCTTTAGAACATTTTAAGAATAGGAATAATAAAATCGCTTTTCATGTTCCTTTAGTCAGTCTAGGCAGGGTAAAACGTTGTTAGCAAGAACTTCAAAAAGTTCTTGATAACAACGTTTTACTTAAAAGGCTTTGACGTGAATGACTGTAGTTTTATTTGCGGTCTAACAGAAATAACAACTTTAAGTACTTTACGAAACTTTAGAGTCTCATTTTTTTTTATTTTACAACTTATACGTTGCAACTTTCCACACCTTGTAGGCTTCAACGGCTTCGCCAAAATTATATAACTTGCCTAGTTTACACGTCAACTATAGTGTCCACTCGTAATCTATCAATGAATATGTTGAAACTTGCTGAGAAGTTCCTGTGTCTTGTCCCTTGTGATCTACCAGAAGCCTCGAGGCACCACTCAAAACTCGCGCTAAAACTGAATTGAACATGCAAACAAAGTGGACGAAGTGAGACGCGTGGTCCAGCGACTACACCATTGAGATAGCTACTGCAGTGCTTTGAGCAATTATTTTAAGATTCACGTTATTTACTTTGCAGGTTCATAAAAATTTCATGCATGACATTCTCCATCGCTAACTGCAACTTAAATACAAACAATTGAGCCCTTGCTGACATTCCTTCCAAGCCAGCATTACTTGGTGGAGTGTTTTTTTATGTAGTTAATAAGCCCATTTGTTGAAGAATCGTGTGACGTCACTGGTTCAGGGCCCTCCAACTCCGGCTGAATTGCTTTAGCAAGCTGTTTGCCTAATTCAACTCTGTAAGAAAAAAAATTCAATTATTTATTCTCCTTACCGTTCACTAAACGTGTCATGTCACATTGAGGAGAACTTTCCTATTTGCTATTCCTTACACGGGAGTTTTTCTGGATACCGATGAAGCATAAACTACAGACACCAATTTCTGCTTATTTCCTCGCGTATAATTGTCGCGTTTGTATTAATTCGCTTGCTCGCCCAGTACAAAGACAAGTAAGCTACCTACCCCCACTGGTCAAAGGAGTTTATATCCCAGACTACTCCCTGACAAAATATCTTGTGTTCATACATGGCTGTAGAAAAAGAGAAGTAAGAAATCGAGTCAGTATTCGCTTACTTCATTTTAAAAGCACGTTACTGTCTTTCATTAATTCACTTAACAAATTTTCGCAGGACTTAAAGTAAGTAATTTAGGCTGGCACATGAGAGGCACAAGTTGCGTGTGTCTGATCACTGCCGCGTGTCTTACTCGCACTCGGTCACTTTGAAAGTATAAACAGAAAATAGCTCTCACAATCACATGATATTTAAACCATGCATCTCATGGAAAAGATAACTTAAACTATACGAGCAAATCCCTGCTGGAACATATAACTCACCAAGCAAGGCACCAAGAATGAATGGAGTAAGTTTTTGGAACAGAATGGAATTAGTGGGTTTGTTACCCATAAACACCTGTAATGCAAACAGAGACGTGAATAGTTTATTTCGGGTGGAAACAATCATTGAGAATCGAGATCTGTTAAAATTGTTCAATCAAAACATTCGGCAATTTAGAAATTACACTGAATAGAGTAAAAAAAATAAAAAAATAAAAAAAAAAAGAAGGAGAGAGTTCTATCTAATCCCCTGATCATGAAGGCGTCCTAGTAGTTCTTTTTTAAACCCTCTGACCCCTAAAAGTGACTAGCTTCTAATTTCCCCTAACAATATCACACCTGAATCACAGATTAAGGTCATGAGAATAAAGGAAACGATCATTAACTGAATCAGCTCTTGATTGTTAAACAAATTCTCCTTGTCAGCACCTTGGGAAATGTATAGAGAATAGTATGGAGAATATGCACGCTGATATGATGAAAAAGTTTAAGGCTAGAAGACTGCGGTTGGCTGCACGTTTCAGACTCACTCATTTGGTAATTTTTGCAATCCCAGGGGAAAGCGGAAAACTGGCTGATGTAGAGATAGAAAAAGGGACACAATTTGCAGACCCCACCCTTTTCGTTACACAACGTGTGCTTGAGAGGCATAATACTATGTGATGTACCTTGTGGGGTAAAATCTTCTCCAATGTATCTCCAGACTTTCCACTCTTCTCCAGCTCAGCACGAGCCTCGTCGCTTGTCTTCCCTTTCATTAGAGCTTCTGGTTGAGCCAGAAAATTAGCCAAAAGAATCTATAACAGAACAGACAGCGGTTTACAAGACAGCGGAGATATTGCGCGTCTTTTGCTTAAGATAACCGCCATATGAACAATCGTACCTTGTGATGCAATCCACCACTTATAGGATTCTGAGTCTCAACAGGAGCCAAGAAATCTGCTGGAATAATCTTTGTTCCTACAGAGGAAAGCGAACAAAATTTGAGAGCGAAAAAATCACGCGTATCATAAGTACATTTGACGTGTGAGAAACCACAAAATATTATTCTACGAACTCAAAAAAATAAAAACGAACAAACAAAAAACAACAACAAATTCGTGGAGTGGCAGCATGGAAGTAAAGTGTCTCACCCACAATCATGAACACAACCCAGACCTGACCTCGCCAACCAAACAGTACCATCGTAAGCATAAAATACATCACTACGTCTCTTGAATAACATTATCAAAATACGTAACATGGTGTAATTTACCTTGATGGATAAGCTGATAGAATGCGTGTTGCCCGTTAGTCCCAGGCTCTCCCCATACAATGGGTCCGGTGGAGTAGTTGACATGCGCACCACTACGTGTGACATACTTTCCATTGGATTCCATGTCACCCTGATAAAAAAAAAAAACCAAAATAGATGCCTGTCTTCTTCAAAGTGTTTGGAAAGAAACAGGCTCAAAAAAAAGAAAGCTTGGGCTATTTTTTCCCAAGTACCCTTAAACCAAATTTAAAGTAAACTTATCAGACAATCAGATCAAAGGTATATATTTGTATGAAGCCTATGAGAATAACTCAAAATAAAGACACAAGGATGGTCATAGGCGAGGGAAAACATAAGTGAAGAACAGGTCACAACTGACTTTGTCTGGCATTTTTTCAATTGAAAGGGTGGTGCGCGTTTTTTAAACAAATTACTAAGTTAAGCGAAGCTAGAGTAAAACAATTTCGGATTGCTCTAGATACTTAAAGAGAAAACACACTGGTTTATCATTCACTCTTACCTGCTGAAAATAGGCTGCAAAACGGTGCATGTACTGAAAACCCAAACAAAGCAGCGTTGAGGATAATTAACGTGAATCTGTTATTTAAGACTATTCAGGGTATACAGGTAAAGAAGTTTAAACGAAAACGGGAAGTTTAGTGGTAGCAGGTGCTCACCTGATCATATGGAAAAAGGCCATGTGTCTGAGCACCAAAGAAGTTGTTGTACCAAACTCCTAACATTCCCAGGATTACTGGAATCTGTTTCCAAAACGATAAAAAAATCCAAAATGCAATAGCTCAGATGAGGGCAAATAACATGAACAATAATATCATGAGAATTTTTCAATAATATGTAATACTACCTGATAAGTTCACATATTCTTCCATCCCCTCTAGTATCATAAATGCCATCCCCTCCTTGAGCCACAATCACTGCACCAGATAAATGTAAATTTGAAACTCCAAAAATAATTCTGTGCTTTAAATTGGATACTTACATTTTTCTCCAAAGGAGTGGAACAAAAGTGATTATCCTACAAAAAAAACATTGTAGTGTAATAGATTAAATATTATTAGGCATTTTTTCATAAAGTAGTGGTCAGTAATAGTGGTGTAAAAAGTTTATTTTTGTTTTGATTTCTATTGACCCACCCCTCCCCTCTCCTTCCTTTTGACAATTGCTCACCCCCTTAGTACAAATTTCTTTAATTTTCTCCCCAGCTTTCTGCTTCTGCAGTAAAAATTAAGGATGGTAGGTATAATTTTCACCTAGAAAATACTGAGCACTTGCTCACCGAAATCCCACCTGCTCTGCAGGCTATTTTTTAAATTTCTTCTCTCACTCTTGTCTTTTATGTTTGATTAGTTCTTTAGCTCCTTGCTTAAGCCTTTAACTCCCAGGAGTGATTAACATGTAATTTCTCCTTACAACATCCATATATTATCCAACAAACAGGTAATGATAATGCTTAAACTCATCAGGTAGAGGTTGTTATTTTGATTTAATACCACATTCCACTAACAAATTTACAAGCAAATGTGTAGCTACTGGAAGGGAGAACTAAAAATCAGATCTTAGGAACAACAGAGTTAATTCTGACCACCTAATTGTACTAACCATAGCATGAGCCCCAGCAAGAAGGGCTTCAAAGTTATCCATTCCTACCACAAACAAATAAAAAAGCTATCACTACTCATGCTGAAAGGCATCCACTTTTGTTGTTTAAAATAATAAGGCTTGAATAGGTATACAGTAATATAGATAAAGCAAGAATTTATTGCTGAGAAAGTATGAAACTAAACTGACTGACTAATGGCATATAATTGATTGACTGACTGACAGATCGTGACCAGCCCACTGACCAACCAACTAACTGAACAAATAATTAATTTTAATTATTGTTTATTTGATCATTTCTTGGTTGATATAGTGGATTGCTTGATATTAACTGATTAAATGCTTGATTGAGCAGCTAACTGGCAAATTGACTGACCACCTAATATGACTGACTGACTAACTGTCACTGACCAACAGACTGATTGACCACCTGAATTAATAATGATGGATCAATTGACTAATGGATTGATCAATTCACTTATGGATCAAAAATAATAATGATTCACTGAAGTCAGATTTATACCAATGTAAACAGCAATTGACATTCCAATGGCAGACCAAAGAGAATATCGTCCTCCAACCCACTGAAAAGGAAACAAATGAAACTGAAATATAGATCACTTAATTATTAGGAAATAGTCATGTCTCCTGTTTTCTAAAACCTTCAACCACCCAACCTCTTTCCAAGGAAGATAATCAAAGTTTTTAACTCTTTAACTCCCACAAGTGATTAACATGCAACTTTTCCCTACAGTATCCATGCATTATCTAGCAAACAGGAAATGAGAATACTCAAACCTATCAGGTTCAAGATATAACCTAGATTGAACACCAAATTCTCATAATCAATTTACAAGAAAATGTGTAGCAGTTAGCAGGGAGAATTAACAATCAGATCTTCGGAGTTCAAGGGTTAAATACATACATATAAAAGTTGTACTTACATCCCAAAATGCAAACATGTTTTTCTTGTCTATTCCAAATTTAGTGACTTCCACCTGTGGAAAAAAAAGGGCTAATAATCTAGGCCCTAATCTCAAGTTTGAACAAGACAGGCAAAATTCTAGGGAGAGTTATTGCTGCATCACTTTCCGAGCTCATTCAATCCCAGGAGTGACCAACAAGGAATTTTTCCTTGCATTATTGAAAGGAGAGGTTATGAAAAAAAATAAAAATTTCAGGGCTAAATAATAAGAAATCTATCCCAAACATTGCGCAGATAATTGATATTTGGATCTTGGGAAGGGAATGGTAAGAAATGTGCTTTTGCTATGATGTTAGGCCCACCTTCAGCAACTCAAAAAATGTAACCTATCTCTTCAACCCAGTTCCCCATCAGGGTAATCAAGCTAGAGAGACTGGGATGAGGAAACAGCTTACATTCTTAGACTTAACATTCAATTTCCAAGGGGGAGGGAGTTAGATAATCTACACTGGATTGCTCTGAATGAGAATCCCACTCAAGGAGGTAAGGATCGTTACTCTCCTTTTCTCACTAAAATTAAAACCACTATTAGAGGGGAATGTGCTCTCAAAAGATTATATTTTTATAGATACTGAGGTGTAGAAATTGCATGCAAAACTAAGGGCATTATCATTATCTTTACAATTAATTAGAAAAGAATTGCTGGGCAACTAGTTCATGTTAACGAATTAGTCTTTTTCCAACAGTCTTACCAAATAATTGATACAAATTAAGAATTGAACAGTAAGTTTACTCTGCCAGCTACGATAAAAGGTAAATACCCCATGAGGGTAATAATTACTTGAATATGAAAATATGTCTTTTGCTGCCTATGCTAAATCTCAAAATGTAATGAGAATTAACTAAATAGGCACCAAAATTTATTCATCCATACCTCATTTGTAGAAAGAGCGATGAAATGCTTCGCTACCGCTGAATTCTATCAACAGATAGAAAGTACAAAGTCATTAACACCCACATGACCTGATCAAACAATAAGTATAGGCTGTTAATAAGAAAAACCTGCTTTTTGATTACACTTTGATGTCATCAACAAAAATTACATAGAACCAAATATTGACTTCCAGATGCCAGTATAGAGGCTAAACAACATCTGTGCTGCTCTCAAGTATTAATCATAGGTGGATATAAATAGAAATCTAATTAATTTTATAAAAGGGCAGGGCAAACATACATCCTTCAACTCTTTCAGCAACCAGTCCCTTGCTGATTTTGCATTTGTAATGGTCTCTATGGTGGTGAATGTCTGTAGAAAAAAAATTACCATTCTTAACTTCTGACTTACAGTAGCTGTATGTGAATAACTCGAAAAGAAACTCTATGATATCCACAATAAGGTGGCTGCAGGAGTTATTAACCCTTTACACCCTGACATCAGTATTGAAATTCTCCACACTGTTCTCTATACTTTTCCTGAGGTACTGACAAGGAGAATTTGTTTAACAGTCAAGAGCTTCTTTAATTGGCAATAGTTCCCTCTGTTACTGGATAATGTAAGGAGAAATTTAATGCTAGTCACTCTTACCAGCCAAAGGGTTAATCAAATAGACTGAGGCTACAACTGGAAATCAATTTCTTTGGAAGATGTTAAGAGTTATCAACTAACTTCTCAGTATCTCAACCCCTTGTTCAACTCCCAGTAAAACAAAGTAATTATAATAAATTAGAGTGCTATTTCAAAGTTTGTCTGAGACAAACCTTACCATTCTGTTAATGAAATTTTGCTGGTAGTGAAGGAGAGACAGTCAAAGCTTAATTAAGACCTATCAAATGAAGGTACAGGAAATGGACAAAACCCTAGAGCAAAGTAAATTTGAACAAAATAAAGTGTACCCAGTGTATGCCAACCTTGATGGTTTGACACAGATCTTAAAAGACTAGCTAGTATGTGACAAAGAAAATTAAGCTTCTCATTTTCCAGCTGATAACAAATTATGACTAAATATAAAAGGTCATAAAATTTGGACAAATAAAATATTGAGTTTCAGTTGCATATACCTTTGATGCTACAATGAACAATGTAGTTTCTGGATTGAGAGTTGCCACAGTCTTGGCCAGGTGAGTTCCATCAATATTGGAGACAAAATGGACACTGAGCCCTTTTTTGCCATAAGGTTTCAAGGCTTCAGTCACCATCAGTGGTCCCTACAGATAAATTAAAATAACCTAGTATCTGTAGAGAATAGGTATCTGTATGTTCCATCCACATAGAGCTCAACGCCATAAAAATTTGCAACTCTAATAACAAAAAGGTACATATCAATAACTTCAATATAATCAACCCTATGTAATCGTAAATGAACAACATTGAAACTTAACTTAATACGTTATTTATCAAAAATTCATATTATCAACCAAAGGTGAACCCCTTTTAACACATTCCTGAATAATTATTCCATATTTAAATTAATCTGGCTACTTTCCAATGTAAAACTAGTAAGAGAAAACCTGCTACACCTTTTTTTATTAATTGATAAAAGATACCTATTTGTCTATACCAGGCCTGTATTTTTTAAGTTTTATAATACTTACATGTTTATTGTTGATTTAATTATCAACTACACAGTAAACTATTTGACTGTTTGTTTTTGCATAGCTTACAGCAAATATTACTTTATTACTTGAAACACAGTAAACTGCTATAATTATTTTTTGCAGAACACCTTTACTCTATTTTTGTGAAAACTTTTCTATATCACAATTGTGAATACTATATATTATGTATAGCATTGCCTTTTATGAACAAAAATTTCATGTTTACCAGGTCTGATCCTCCAATTCCAATATTCACAACATCTGTTATCGTTTTTCCAGTATGACCTTAAAAGAAAGGAAATGAAGACTTTCTTAAAAATAAATATTAAGAAAATGGAGGCAACACTAAATTGAAACTGTCTATCATAAAACATATTAAATATCTCAAATCTTAGAGGAGAAGAGCTGTACTTAGATATGCTTAAATAATCAAGAAATCTCACTAGAGAAAAGAAGAAACAAAAAAGTATTAATCCTTTAATCCCCAACATCAGTATGCTTTATCTCAGTCCATACTGTTCTCTACAAATTTTTTAAGGTGCTGTCACATGGAGAATTTGTTTAACAATCAAGAGCTTCTTCAATTTGGTGATCATTTCCCTTATTCTCATGACCTTAATGTTTGATTCAGGGATGAAATTGTAGGGAGAAATTAGATGCTAATCACTCTTTAGGTTAAAAGGTGAAATTAATCACAGCATCTCAAATGCATGTAAGTAAATTTACAGTTTTTTTCCATCTTTTATATTTCAAATCAGTTTTATTTGCATCAGTCCCTTTTCTTTGGAGATCAAAATATACTCATGTCTTGTAGATCCTCATCAAAATAACTTTCATTCTGTCATTATAAAAATACTAATTTATTGGTTAATATCTTTAAATATTTTATTATAATGATTGACTGAAAAAATGTTTTCATTTACCTTTCCAAGTGCCATTCCTTACAGCCTGCAAAACCAAAATTCTACTTTAAGAAGTTATAACAGATTGTGCAAAAAAATAGTTACTAATTAGTGATTTTGATTAATAACAGAAGTTCTTTATGATAAAAGTGCATATTTACAATAAATTAAAACTATAAATCAAACATAAAAATGAATTTTAATTAACAACAAATCATGAACTTTAAGTATAGAAGTCTAATTAAGTATAGAAGTCTAATTTAGCTGTTGTTAACTCAAGCCTACCTCAGTGAAGCTCCTCATCTGGTTAAGAACTGCATTCACATCATCCATTACCTATTTAAAAAAAAATAATAATAGGAGTAAAATGAAATTTATGGAGTCAAGGAAGAGCTTGCGTGACCAGATTAAATTCCTACTACCCCCCTTAATTGAGCTACATACATCCTTTATATATTTGGACACTTGCATAAAAAAACACTATAACAGTTGCAAAATTAAATATAATGTGTATAATTCAAAACTTCTCCAAGTTACACCTGTTTAATTCATAACCATTCTCTCAATTTGAAGAAATTAGCTGTAGTATTGTAGATTTTACACTGTTTGTCTGCTACAAGCAAACTTACATTCTTTCCATCCACAGTAATTGGTTTATTGGAACGGTTTCTAAGAGCTATATGGAGAACTGCTCGGTTCTGAAAAAAAAAAAAACATATTAATTTTAGTCAATGCTCAGTTTAGTGACACACATTGGAGGGGCAGTGGCTTACAACTTAGCTAACTGGGTTCTGAAAGAAGAGGATTAGAACCAAGCTGTGGCCAGTTTATTCTGAGAGACTTTTCCAGCCAAGACCCAGTTCAAACAGTGCATGACGCTATGCAACAGATAAATCACTACCCAGCAGATAACTGTTAACAAAATGTATCCCTTTATTCATTGGATAGAGATTTATCATGAGGATAACTATATCTCCCCTTCCAACATCTGTGGCCCGAGGTACAAATGGATACAAAAGAATACTCAGGGAAAGATTGTTCAATTACCTTTTGCCACCTTGAAATATATCTCTTTTATAAAGTCAAATATCATTTAAAACATACCTCAGTAAAATTAATTTTTTCTCCAGAAAACATCTTCTCACGTGCACTTTCTATTCCTCTAGCTTTTGCCTGTAGCAAGAAAAATTACACCCTTGTAACTTTTTCAATTTAAAAAAACTACTGATGATTTCTTCAAAGCCCATTCTTTCACAGAAAAGAATAAAAACCTGATATCTTTATAGCCATTTCATTAACATACCAGATTCATAAGAAGTTTCATGGTCTCCTCAGTGATAATATTTTTGGAATAGTCGACCAACAGGGTACCATCTTGAGTGTCAAGTTGCACGCTGAAATAGCCCAAAGGAAAAGTGACAAAATTGAAAAAACTTCAGAGAACAGGTTTGGTTTTGTATGCAAACATCACAGACTCAAGCTCTATCAGTCTCACTCCTGTGAGAGGGGGCAGGGGGCATGGGTGGGGTTTCAGTTTTGCCCATTTATATGCACACAGGCTCATCAAATACTTCTGTAAGCAACTGAGGAAGAAACGACTGTCTTCCTCAGCTGAATTTCTTTTGCTCCATTAATTTATGCATCTGCATACATTATACCCTAGGACACAGAGGAATGAAGCAGCACGCAAGTTAAACTAGTTTGAATATCTTTATTCTAAATTGTCCTATCGACATCATTATGTCAAATCAGCGATGACAGTCATTGTTTCAGAATCTTTGGTCAAGAATTTGTACTTAGTTAGAAGCAAATGAAAGCTAAAATGTCGATCTATTACTCATGCAAACTCAGTGATCTCTTAGTGGAGTCACGCATATTTTAAAAGATATTTTATTGAACTGACTTTTACTATAGCTGATTCGAACTTTGAATCACGCAAGTAACAAAAAACATTCCAGGAACGCAGACCTCTGCACGGCTACGGTTAATTTATATCGAGGCCAATCTAAACAAAATGTAACAAACAACAGCTCGATATTGAAGGAATGTTACCTGAATTTATCAAATCTCCCGGGATCCTTCTCAAAAAGGCTTCGCATATGGAGATTGGAGACAGCTTCATAGTGTGATTGCAACGCACTGAACTCGGGACACTCTTTCAGAGAGGTAGCCATGTCTATCTTGGCAACTTTGGGAGCTCTGCTCATCAATATCACTGCAGAATTTCAAAAGAAATGCGTAATCACGAGATTGTTCTTGAAAAGGGCCAATATAAGCACTGAGTTATCAGGCGCAGTAGCCGAAACTTCAATCATGTAACAGTAGTGTAATGTCCCTTGTAACAAACGCACACGTACCAACCTTTGGAAACTTTGAACCACCACTTCTTACCTCACGTTCAGAGCGGGTGACCACTGCTTTAGTAAGAGCATTAAACCAACCGCTCTCCATGAAAAATAAAATTGGTAAGGTGGTTTTGTTTTTTCAAACTAGTTTTTCCACGGGAGGGGAGGGTGAGAGCTGTTTAGAGGGTAAGACCGTCTATTACCTGTTCTTTAACAAAGAGGGATACAATTTCTACTTTGCCGTGAACTTCGTAAATCAAGAGAAAACTACCAGACACTCCTAGTATAAGACCCTTAGAAAATAAATCCCGAGAAACTGGGGAAAAATGGTGACGTGCCAAAAACTTTCTGTATAGAGTATGAAAATAAAATATCTTCGTGCAGAGAATCCTATTACAATAATTGTTAGAGCAATCCGAGTAAAGGCCTCAGCAACAGGTTTAAACAAGGTTGGAGAAATTCAGAATATACCGCGAAACTTGTTGATAACTTTATGATCGCATACGTAATGGCCATCTGTTGTTGTTGTTGTTGTTGGCTTATTTTTTTTTTTTTCTGCTGGTTTGATTTTAGAGCCCTGAAAAAATTATCAGAAATAGAACAGAAAATGAAATAAAGAGATATCGAATCGAGGGAATCTAAACAACAGAAATACACTTCCCTGCTAGTAGGCTACACAGCAAACGTGCGATAAAAGAGTAACAGAAAAGTCTAGCTTAGTTTGGGAGGGTCAACAAGTGAGGCGCCCTTTTTTTTTTAGAAACAAGAGTCATTTATTCGCCTTTTTTTAATCCCTTCCCTTGCAAGCTCGAAAATCAATTGGAACAGCCATCGTACTCGGGAACGGATATGCTGAAGCTACACATGCAGCAGTCTGAAGCCGAGTTCAACTTTTACGATTGGTTCCATCGTGATAGTGATGTACTGGAACTGGATCTGCGACGAATAGAAACTACAGATATCAAAGTTTGCTGTTATCTCCTATACAAAACGTTTTTTCGTCGTAATGTTTGTACTTTTCTTTGGTCCAGTCGTCAAAACTTATAAAATCCTTAGACGTTTACGTAATTAATGGTGAAACGCCTACGCTACCAACCAATAATTAAGATAAAAGGCAGGATTGAAGTTGTTTCTTCTGGGCCATTTTTTAAGAGCAAAGTCCGAGCCAGTTCCATTATGATTTCCGAGATTAAATGTCATATTGAACCCATTTAAGCCTCAGACGTTGAGTGAGGAAATTTCATCAAAGCGATAATCATTCAAAGCGGAGGATTTAAAAAAAAAAAGCATTCTGAGCTGAACAGACTAGAAAAACTTGAGGGTGATAATTTGAAAGTCACACTTACGGGAAACCGTTTGGCAAAAACATGCAAACAAAATAGACGAAGAGAACTTTAAAATCTTCAACAGCTTACAAATGGTGTCTTCACTTTTCCTTTTCTCGCTTGCCCTGTTTTTTCACTCGTCCCCGCAAACACAGTGCGTGGAACAGTGTAGAGTTTCTTAGGGTCTGCAACCCATACCTAATATCATAGAGTGACAAACCGGAAGTAGACAATTTCGCTAGCTGATGTAGGTTTTCCTCATCGTGTTACTGGTAAAATTAAAGTTTTTTGTATGTTGTTTCACTTAGATGGTTGGCACTCAAGTGTAACATCACCGTATAATTACACTTTTGAATAGTAAGGTTTTTGCAAAGATGCTTATATTAATTCAGCCATTTTTTCCCAAAACACCCATGCAAAGTTGTCTAAAAAAGATACTTCCACACTTGTACGCGCCGTCATATCCGGTGAGCCAGTTTGCTGCACTGAATTCACAAAAAGAAAAATTAAAAGTTATTAAACTTCTCTAATGTCCGGATATGATCAGTGTATTTTGTAAACATTGTCATCTTTGATTACAAACAGATCAGTAATGTAACATTTCACAGATTTTAGTCCAGGAATGTTGTTTATTAAACAAAAAAATCTTTGTTTTGAAAAGGACCCAACTGCTGATTCTATTTCTGTTTTGTTTACTTTTTCTTACAGACCGAACAGTTATCAACATCACCATCTGATACTGGTCAAAGTTACCTGTTTTTTTTTCGTTAAATTTCTTTACTGTCACCAAGTTGAAGAAGATGATTACTAGCTGCAAAGTCGTCTCTCAAGAAAGACTTGAAGGTGAATTTTGACGCCGATTCACGCAAAAGAGATTAATCTTCATTTGACATTTTTGTTCGCGTGACTTCTAAGTCGGAGCAAGTGTTGTCGGTGTGTTTGTGTTGATTGCTCATTCCAGATACATCCATTTCGCAGGACCTGCAGATGAAAGCAATTAAGCCAATGATTTTTATGGCCCGATGTGAAACTTTAGGTTAGTCAAAAACACTAAATCGTCTCATTTGGCTATTTTCATCTTGATCTCGCAGCAGGAGATCGCTTCGTATTTGGACAAAAGCGGGAAGAACTCAAACGTAACCAACTATCATTCAAGGAAAAATAAACACGTCTGTTCTAGACTTTTCCAATGACAATGCGTCTAATATCTGTCCCCGACCACAGGAACTAAGAAAGGAAAATCATAAGTAGTTTCTTGCGGAAAGAGACAGATACATTTGCGCTTGAAAAAGTTATGTCCAACGGCGGTAAAAGGAAAGTTTTGAAAGACAGAAACAAACTGACAATGTTTACACTCCATATGTCTGAATGGAACCTACTCTTGCGAGGAAAATGAATCTGTAGCAGACTTAAATAACTATTATCAAGTTTCACGCTGTATATGGCTTTATGATATGTAAGCCGTCCATATGAACTTTTTAGTATCATGTAAATATGATAATTGTACATGTGGTCCCTCCGATAATGCTTCATGAATCTTCGATGACCATTCTGCAAAGAGCTCATTAAGCTTAAGTGGGTCACAGTTTTTACGTCATAGAAATATTTTGGCTAAAAATTTTCAGGTAAGGCTCTTTTGAGTGAATGCAATCTAGTCTTGGCGCGGCCAATCTTTTGCTCATCTCATCGTTTCACTCTATATCTCAGTAAGCAATTTTTTCACGGTGCGAAATAAGAAGAAAAAAGAGCAGCTCGGTATATTCTGTGAGGTGTTAGTTGATCTGGTTTTCTTGTTTACCACACACATGGCTGAAACTTTAATTTTTCTATATTTGCTTAATTAATTGGTCTCTTAGTAAACATATAATCATAAAATCTCGAAAAAAAATAAAAATTATTTATGTGGGATGGAATATTTTGCTATCTTACCATCTCGTCCAGATCTCTAAATATCAGAGCATTAAAATTTCACAGGAAAATAGCATCTTCCAAAATTTAAAATGCTCTGGCAACATCCTTAGCAAACAAACGGTAAAAATAAACAAATATCAAAACAAAATGCAACTGCTAGCGGCTTTTCGGTGCAGAGCATGCGCGTGGTCTGAAGAAAGCAGATTTGCGTGAAGTGTCATTCAAGTGAAACAAACGCACATCGCGTGTAGATAGATGAGTAAAGACGTGTAGAGGATGGTGATAAACTGACTCGCTTTTCCGATTTAAACTAACTCGCTAGCGAGCTATGCTTGCCGCGGTTTATTATGAGCGGAGGTCGCTTTGACTTTGAAGATGGTGGAACTTACTGCGGAGAATGGAAAACCAGCAAGGCACATGGATATGGCATCTGTACCGGACCAAAAGGACAAGCTCGTTACGAAGGCTCTTGGAACAACGGCTTCGAACTCAGCGGAGTTTATGTTTGGCCTAACGGCCATCGCTTTGAAGGTGAATGGCTCGATGGACGCAGACACGGACTTGGCGTTGAATATCGAGGAAAATGGACTTACCAAGGCGAGTGGGAGGAAGGTTTTAAAGCGCGCTACGGTGTGCAGAAGTCGCAAAGCGGGGCGCGCTATGAGGGAAGTTGGACGTCTGGACTACAAGAAGGTTATGGAATCGAGGTTTACGCTGATGAAGGTAGGTTTCGTTATAACTGTTCGAAAGGGAAGTGCAACAAAGGTATAATTTGTAGCATATTTGTCGGCAGATGGATTCCAATTTGCAGCGGTTGTTAAAGAATGATGACCCATGTTCGGAAGAAAATTGAACTCAATTGGTCATTTGTGTCACTAGACAAGATACATTTGCAAAATTTGTCATTAGCCATAGATGTATTTTGGAGACTGCCTGAAGCACTGTACTTTGCTAAAGCCGCTTAATTTCTCCAATTTGCGTTCTTGTTATGTTACACTAAACGGATTTTCACTTTTTTTTTAACCAAAATTTCCTTTATCCGGATTTTGTACTAGCAGAAAATCATTTGACATTACTGCTTTTCTCTTCTCATTTGACAGTTTTTGAGTACGTTTTCCGCATGTAAGATGCCTGCTGATTAAGCTTATTTTATGACTGTCGAACGCTCCCGAGGTCTTGTTTATGCAGCAATGATATCAATACTTAATGGTGGTCCAGAACATTTGATTAGAGGGACTCTATTCTTGGATCGAAGTTTTGATTGTGTGATATATGGTTTAAATGGATGAAGGCAGGGACCAATATTCCTTTCTATGAGAATTAATAGTTCCTAGATCCGTCCTAAAGACTTGGTGCCTATCTGAAAATACCAAAGGAGATTATTTTCTTCGTTCGAAATGTAACTTTGTAAACTAGACTGAAGCACAAGCTTAAGAAGTAAATGCAAATTATACATCCACCTCGACACGATCGCTTTCGACACAGTAACTCTTTAGTTAGCGCTAGACATATGTCGGAGTTCTTCATGATAAAGAATAAAAGTAGAGCTTTATCAGTTCTAGCTTGTTATGCTTGACTTGTTCACCAGAATTTGAAATATCCGCGATCGCGGCTGTTTAATTTTTTTCGCTCATGCGAACAAGTTTGGGTTGTCTGTTTCTCAAAAGTTTACATTTCTGTGAGATCCATGGGTACTCTTTATGCAGGTTTATTCATCGAACTGTAGTTTGTGAAAAGCTCAGATGGACATCGTAGATGAAAGGGTTGCGAGATTGTGGCATTGAGAAAAAGATAGGGTCCAAGATACGTAAACAGAGAACATGCTTGTGAATAGATCGCCTCTGACACCGCTGTCTGTTCGCCCATTCGCAGTTTGTCAACACACTAAACGATGTTGACCATTTCGGTGAGTGTTTTCGTCGACGTCTGAATGTTTTGGCGGCGAATGATCTCGATTACCCGTTCTAGAACAAACCATAACTTTTCAGAATCGGGAGTGTTTAGGAGTTGCTCGGTTGGAGATATTACCTCTGATTGTGTTTTTAGCGTCTATCATTCCATGTTCCCATTCATGGATTGTAAAGCTCATTTTTACTTTAGAATATAGAAGTTTTCAAATGGATGGTACTTTACTTTATTCGTTTCAATCACGGATTGGTTCCTGAGAACAGCCCCAATTTGAAAACGCTGTAGGCACCGACAAGGTTGTGCAGGTGATCTTTTTCATGTGGTGTCAAGTTGGACTTGAGTATTTCTGACAATTTCGCCATGGTTATTTCCTTTTTTCTGTCAAAAAACTAATAAATGACTTGGAAAAGATATTGGACTGAGACCGGTAGATGATATTTCATTTGTTTATTTATTTATTTATTTATTTTTAGCAAAACTGCGATCATTTGCATTCTGAGTTATTTCCATATCACCACAAATCATCTGATCTTGGCATTCCACTTTCCTAATTGATTCTTGAAATTTATAGCTGTTCAACATCTCCAGTGTATCAAGCATTTCCTGAACAGTTTTGGAAAGTTCTCTTTCGGAAATAACTTATTTTGATACTTGATTCTTGTTATTTTGTTGGCACATTCAGTGATGAATGGCAGACTCTGAGCATTTT